TCCTGCTGCCCAGTCGCCCATGCCGTGTGCCCCCCCCCTAAAAATTTTCTGGGGTTGCCTCTCGTCCCTTCCGACGACGACACTGTTGACGCCGTTGCTCCTCTCTAGCCAGGGCCTTCACCTTAGCCCATGGCCCTTTGCCCCCGAGCATGTCCTCCCAGGACCACAATTTGCCCACCTGGGCCATCGCCAACCTCTCCAGCTCCTTTCCCGGCCTTTCCTCCCATGTCCAGGCCGCCTGCTCCTGGACACGCTGCTTGGTCCTGGTATGGTGGGATCTTCTGTCACGATCGTTAGAGTGAGTGGACCAAGGCGCAGCGTTGTAGGCAAACATACTTTAATTGAAGAGAGTAAACACTCGAACAAAACAATAAACGATACCGTGACGTCCAAAGGTTAAACACAACAAACACGGAATAACCCAAACTGGAACAAACCAACTGGAACAAGATCCCACAACTATTGTGGGAAAACAGCCTCTATAAATATGGCTCCCAATCAGAGACAACCAGCAACAGCTGACACTCGTTGCCTCTGATTGGGAACCACTCTGGCCAACACAGAAATACAATACATAGAATAAACACACCCTGGCTCAACATATAGAGTCCCAGAGCCAGGGTGTGACAATGACACATATGGAATCATGTACTAACCATAAAAGTGTTAAACAAATCAAAATAAATAGCCACCCTTTGCCTTGATGACAGCTTTGCACACTCTTGGTATTCTTTCCAACTGTCTTGAAGGAGTTCCCACATATGCTGAGCACTTGTTGGCTGCTTTTCCTTCAATCTGCGGTCCAACTCATCCCAAACCATCTCAATTGTGGCCATCTCAGGTCGGGGGATTGTGGAGGCCAAGTCATCTGATCCAAGTCACCATCACTCTCCTTCTTTGTAAAATATCCCTTACACAGTCTGGAGGTGTGTTGGGTCATTGTCCTGTTAAAAAACAAATGATAGTCCCACTAAGCCCAAACCAGATGGGATGCTGTATCGCTGCAGAAGGTGGAGTGTGGAGTGTGGACCTCATTTCATCTTTTAATCACCCACGTGGGTATATGCTCCTAAAAACCAATGAGGAGATGGGACAGGTGGGACTTGCTGCGCGTCAAGCATAAAAAATAGAACCAAGTTCTATTTTAGCGCCTGGCTACGCAGACGCTTGTTGACGCAAGCAGTTTGGATGAAATTATTGAATAACATGTATGTGTACATTTATTTTGCAACACTCGTGCACGCAACGCGGGCAGTGTGGTCAGCAAGTAAGGGGAAAAACAGAACACCCATGAACTAGTGGGGGATAGGTGGGTCACGTCAGGTCATGTCATCACTTTGTTTGAATTACATGATACACTGTTTGAAATGGCCAACACAGTGACACATCACTACATGTTATCATAACGTCTGGGGCACGTTGACATTTCCAGGAAAAGGGTCAAAAGGGCATGTTGTGTGTGATTTTTAAGCAGTGTCGTCTGCTTGCACTTGCAGCTGGTGAGTGAGCAACAAGAGAGCCGCCCCCTGCTCAGCCCCTCCATCGACGACTTTCTCTGTGAGACCAAGTGCCATGGAGCTGCCCGCCCAGTGACTTCAAACACAGCAGGTACCTCCACTGACCTCCCTCTCCTCTCTGTCTACCCAGCCTGCTGTAGTAACCCCTTCATGCATTGGCCATTGACGTTTTCATAACACTATGACCTATTTCAGACAGAAGACAGGGTATATTACCTGTAATAATAATCATAAGTTAATGTGAATATGACCCCCTTTCAAACAGACCCTTATTTACCACCTTCTTGCAGGTATACCCCCTTTTATACATATCAGTTTGAACCTGACATTTGGGAGGGGTGGGGGGTTTTGTTTAACCATGGGGGGGGGTAAAATAAGGGAGCTGTTAAACAATGGAACTGTTAATGAATTTACCTGGATAAAAACAGAGATCCATTTTCACAGACCCCATATCTGTTTTTTTGATTACAGGGTCTGTGAAATCATGACTAGTTCTTGAGTTGGGTTTCAATATACCATGTTTTAATATACCATGTTTTAAATATACCATGTTTTTTACCCCATTCAGAAGGGAAGAAGAAGGCGGTATGGTAAAAAATTGGGATTTTTTTGTCTGTATGTGAAAGGGGTATGTGTAACACTATGTAAGTTGACTGAAGTTAATGTAATAGAGGGCTGCTTTAACACTCCGGTTACATCAGGGGGATTGTATTATTGTGTCACGGTGGTCATCAATATTTAATACACTCAATGCATAATGCAAAGTTATGACAACATACCGCAGCAATGTTGCATGATAGCCGTATGGACACAGTCACAGCGTGGAAGTCGAATGAAGCGCATGTACCGGATTACCAATTACGTTTTTACTACATTATTAACAAGACCTAAACAACAACGTCAATAGTCTAAAACATTTTGTTTTAAAATGGAGGTCATCTCTATAAAGGGGTAGTTCATAGATTAACCTTGTCCTGGCTACCGTCAGTAGCTACTGTTTGATCAAATAGGTAAAAGGTCACTACTCATTTTCAGTCTCAGCGTCTTGCCAGAGATGTTTTAACTACACAGACACGACCAGTTTAATTCTGTTATTAGTGTGTCGAGTAAAGTACTGTAACTAAAAGCACAGAGCACGCCAGAAGTTAAAGGTGGTCTGATGCCCTGCTGTGTCTTCACACTGAGTAGATTGGGATGATTCAAAATGACAGTCATTTAGACGTTAGGTCCCCAACTGAAGGTCAGTGGCTCCGTAGAGAGCGAGGATAGGAAAGAACAGTGACTCACTTCTCAGTAATCTCCACAGGTTGAGCTGTCCCGATACAAAAGACTAACACAAAGCTCAGCTCTTGACAATACCAATGGACAATTTTATCTCCAATAGGCTAGGGGGGGGGGGGGGGGGGACGATCTTGTAAAAGATCCAATGAGACGTCATTGTTCTCTGTTGAGTATCGGCAAACGTAAATGATGTAAATAGTGTCATGTTTTTCACTTGTATTTTAACTTGAATGTTTTATTGTCTATTTATCAATGCAATATCCATGTACTGTATTTCAGTGTTTATGACTGCCATGTGGATATTACAAAAAATAAAAAAAGATTTACACAATCCTGAGTTTACCTGACCACAATAAACTGCAATAAGGAACTTTATAACTCTCAAATATTATATGTTCAGATATAATGTACACGTATCTTCCCTAAAAGTGAACTGACAACAACATCCAACAAAGCATTTCAAGAATTGAAATAGAAACCTTTAACATGGCCATGACAATGCGGACTCAATCAATTAAATGACTCAATAGCGATGCTCAGAACACTATGATAGAAACAAATCAAATCAAAGATCAAATGTTATTTGCCACATGCGCAGGTGTAGACCTTACAGTGAAATGCTTACCTACAAGCCCTTAACCAACTGCAGTTTTAAGAAAAATAAGTGTTAAGTAAAACATTGATAAGTAAAAAATAAAAATAACAAATAATTAAAGAGCAGCAATAAAATAAAATAACAGTAGGGAGGCTATATACAGGGGGGTACTGGTACAGAGTCTATGTGCGGGGGCACCGGTTAGTCGAGGTAATTGAGGTAATATGTACATGTGGGTAGAGTTAAAGTGACTATGCATAGATAATAAACAGAGATACTATCCTTCGTATACATACACAATACACATCAAATGTGCTTTCAGCTGGCAACCTCATCATCTCAACTAGACTTAAGGTCACCAAAACTGTTTATCCATATTGGTTTCTTTCAGCACATGGCTTTTCTCCTGACAGAGATAACACTTCAGGCGACGTCTCCATCTCCCACAAGTGTTTCCTCTGATTTCTAATTGCATTCATCATTTGAGGAGCACAGAGATATCAAGGAGCGGCACACATTCTAATTACCTACAGATTACATTCAGAGGAGCGTCCCCCCGTTCGTTTGTCATAAAACAACAGTGTGTTATTTACTGAGAGATGTGTGCACACACACGAAGGCTGATCATGTCTATCATATGTCGAGGGAAATCACAACCATGTAATGCTACCTCTTATGACTGTATTAAGATAGTGTTTTACACTCCCTCACACTTTTACATTAACAAACTAGCTTTAACAAATGCAAAAAAAAACACAGTTTAATACACAAAATTGTGCATTACTAAAGGAACTACGTGGACATTATTAAGTGTTCTTCACACACTGCAATACAGCTATTAGCACACCATGACAATAAACCAGACCTTATTTGTTTTAATTTGTTAAATGTATCTGCATAGTCTCTTTTCCTAAAACTCTACATGTTTAATATACTCACAATATAAATTAATTAACTCCAATAAGTTAATTAAGCTATTTACGTTTTAGTCATTTAGCAGACGCTCTTATCCAGAGCGACTAGGGTTAAGTGCCTTGCTCAAGGCCACATAGACTGATTTTTCACCTAGTCGGCTAAGGGATTCGAACCAGCGCCACTTTCGGTTACTGACCCAACGCTCTTAACCGCTAGGCTACCTGCCGCCACTGTTCTTTCCTTTATCGAAATTAAACCTGACTATGAGGACATCATTATTAAGGCAGGAAGGGCTTTTTCATTCTCATACTATAGGCTGTGAGCGGTTAAAATGAACATTAACCTAAAAAAGGACAGAAAAGCCTTTATCACTGAAAAAGGGTCCCTGTCCTTACCGGTCTGATGGTCTGCGATTAAATTGCTTAATTTACCAAACAGAAAAGCTCCGCCAGTGAACAGCTGCCTTAGCTGTCCATAGCCTGGCCATCAAAGTATACTTAGATCTTCAGTGAGGTTGAGAAACTCCTAACCAGGGGGCAACTGATGGAAATAATACCCTTGACGGCTAAATGGCCGGCTTAACTCAATGATGTGCCGAGAAATGTGAAGTAAAACAGTGACTGATTGTTTTCCAGAGTTGCAAAAAAAAAATGTATGTCAATTAACAATGACGTGAAAATGTATAGCTCATAATGAATCCCTCCTTGAGTCACTAATTTCGGAGTCACAAGTCTGTTGAGGAATGTTCATTAGGTTTGTCATGACAGCTTTAAGGAAGATGCGTCTCTCTGTAAAGCAAATATTTGAACTGATCTACCAAGAAGCTAAACTATACTGAACAAAAATATAAACGCAACATGCAACAATTTCAACGATTTTACTGACTTACAGTTCATATAAGGAAATCAGTCAATTGAAATAAATTCATTAAGCCCTAATCTATGGATTTCACATGACTGGGCAGGGGCGCAGCCATGGGTTGGCCTGGGGAGGGGATAGGCCCACCCACTGGGGAGCATGGCCAGCCAATCAGAATGAGTTCTTTATTACAGACAGAAATACTCCTCAGTTTCATCAGCTGTCTGGGTGGCTGGTCTCAGACGATCCCTCAGGTGAAGAAGCCGGATGTGGAGGTCCTGGGCTGACGTGGTTACATGTGGTCTGCGGTTGTGAGGCCGGTTGGACGTACTGCCAAATTCTCTAAAACGACGTTGTAGAGAAATGGTAGAGAAATGAATATTACATTCTCTGGCAACAGCAGGTGGAGATTCCTGCAGTTAGCATGCCAATTGCACGCTCCCTCAAAACTTGAGACATCTGTGGCATTGTGTTGTGTGACAAAACTGCACATTTTAAAGTGGCCTTTTATTTTCCCCAGCACAAGGTGCACCTGTGTAATGATCATGCTGTTTAATCAGCTTCTTGATATGCCACACCTGTCAGGTGGATGGATTATCTTGGCAAAGGAGAAATGCTCACTAACAAGGATGGGAAAAAAATTGTGCACAGAATTGGAAAGAAATAAGCTGTTTGTGCTTATGGAACATTTCTCTGATCTTTTATTTCAGCTCATGAAACCAACACTTTACATGTTGCGTTTATATTTTTGTTCACTATAGTATGATTTCCCCCTCCAGTTCTGTCCTCCACTTTGGACCTATTGGACCTCAGCGAGCCAGGAGAGAGGAGGAACAGCAAGCAGGACAAGAAGAGCCCTCTGTTGTCACATGGGGACCGGCCCAAGAACACGCCTCACCGGAAGAAGAAGACGACGGACGAGACAGAGCTGATCCAGGTGGATGTAGAACAGACTGTCCCCAGCTCACACACTCCTGAGAGAGTGTCACTAGACTCAGGTACACTGGAGCCGATGGTTTACCAGGAGCAGTAGTCTAGGCCCTGGTTGGATAGCTCAGAGCGTCTGCTCTTTTCTACCCAGATGGTTTACCACTGGAACTATTGTCCATTTTATAGTGATTCCTAATTTCATGTATGAGGGATTGACTATAAACGCTCGACGGCACTTGCCTATTGGGTTAGTCAGGGTCATTTGGACCGCAATTATGTTTAGTGGCCATTGTCACTCTCGAGTATGACTAAGCAAACAGCTGTTTAGATAGGCACTTAGGTGCATGATTAAAGGATGATCACTTACAGCCAATAGTTATGCAGAATTTACTTTGTATCATGTCATCATGACTACCCAATATCAAAGCTCATTGCCATTTTCATAACATTAAATCAGGAATGGTATTAGCCTCACGTCCCCAGTCTCCTAAACGCTTAAACGACCTTGCCACATTGAAAAGTTTCCCTTACGAAGTCCAAAAGGAGTTGACCTTGTTCATATTCAAGATCATCCAAAGGAGGATCAGGCTGTAAGTAAGGTCTGTAATGAACAGATCTTCTTAAAATACATTGAGGTTCCAGCCGATGAGTTTCCCATTAGCAAGTTGAGGAGGTTAAAGTATTTCGCTCTTCAACTGAGTTCTAATAATGCATAGCAAGTCAGACTATGCTTCATTTGATTAATTAATGACATGGAGTTTGATAAAAACCCTGGGTGTCATTTACAAGAAAAATGCATGTCCCTGTCATGGATCTGTCCAGATGGAAATATTAAATGTTGCTTAGCTGATTGAGTTGTATTGTTTTGTACCCTGCTGTTAACTGATTTCTCTGTGATTGCTCTTCCCAGTCAACATTGCCTCTCCTTTGGAGAAATGGGAGGAGCTCAACATCCACCCTGAACGAAACAGCAGCAGAAAGTGGAAATTGGAGAGACGGGGTTCATCGAAAAACTCCTCCAGTGAACTTCTGTGGTAAGTAACCTTCGTGCATCAGTTGCATCTACGTCAGTTACAAATCTGGTAAATTCGCTGTTTCTTTGCACTATACTCTACACCAGTGGTTCCCAACTCCAGTCCTCCAGTAACCCCAACAGTACATATTCTAGTTATGGCCCCGGACAAGAACACCTGATTCTACTTGTCAACTGATCATCAAGCCCTTGACAAGTTGAATCAGGTGTTTTTGTCGTACTGGAGGACTGGAGTTGGGAAACACTGCTCTTCTCGCTACACTTCAATATCGCTCTTCACTTTAATTCACTTGAATTGTGAAGTAGTTCAATGTATGAGAGAATATTTTTTACCTCAGTGGGGCCACAACCATAGCTATTCTCATGAGGGTAGACCTCTCCAGCACCCCTGCCTCTTTGGTGCATGCTGAAAAGGACATCTAAAGGACATCCCCTCCGTATTCATTAGACGTCTGCCTTACTGTATCTACTGTAGGTGGTATTGGAAATTGTCATTATCACAGAAAAGGTAACCTAAAAAGCACTTATTCAATTAATCTAGTGTAATGCAGCCCATTGCTTAAGAGCAATCGGTCGCTATAAAGACAAAACTCTAAACGTACAGTACATTTGAAATAAAGAGCCTTTCGGAAGGTCTGCACACTGTTGCATGAAGCAACATCAAGAAAGCTGAAGAAAGTAAAGTGCTCTGACTTAATCGTGTTTGGGGTGTAATGAATGCATTTATTATTGATTCAACTGTCCTTTCTCTTTAGGTCCATAGACTGCAAAACACAATCAGAGCCATTCCCCAAGAGCTCTTTGGAAGTGAATACCATAGCAGAGGCGGAGCCAGCTCTAGCAGAGGCGGAGCCAGCTCTAGCAGAGGCGGAGCCAGCTCTAGCATTTCAAGTAAGTACCTTGGCTATTAAGTTCTGAGTAGTCATCGCTGAGTCAGACCATTATTGTCTGTTCCGTTTGCACTTGAAATCAACAGTCCTTTGAAGTTGAAAGCTTTTTACCTTATTGTTTTGATTAGAAGCGTGGTAGGCTTCGCTGTGACATGTTGAGAGGACTCTACTTTGTTTGATAGAAGTTTATTGGGACTAGGGTTGCAAAATTATCTGCAATTTACAAAGAAAATTGTAATTTGGGTAATTAATAAGTAAAGTTTGTCAATCTATGGAAACTTTGGTAATTTATACATGAATAACTTTTTAAAAAATGAATTCATATAAAATATTCCTTAATGTGCTTGCTGAAGGCAAAACTCTCTAGTATTCTTACGTACTCATATTATTATTAGGTGTGCTTGCTGAACGCAAAACACAACTAGATTTCTTACATACTCATATTATTATTATTATTAGGTGTGCTTGCTGAAGGCAAAACACAACTCTAGATTTCTTACATACTCATATTAATATTAGGTGTGCTTGCTGAACGCAAAACACAACTAGATTTCTAACATACTCATATTATTATAATTAGGTGTGCTTGCTGAAGGCAAAACACAACTCTAGATTTCTTACATACTCTTATTATTATTCTGCCTGCTCTAGCTATTAAACAATTTAGGCTATTAACATGAAAACAACTTTCAAATGTGCAGACTGCCCCAGTATTTATACTTTTTGTACTACAACAATATTTAAATGAGCTCCCAATGCATTTCAATGACAATAAAAGGGCCATTGACTTACATGAGAAAATTTCAGCCTGGTCTCATACACTAGATAGTACACATAGTAAAAGTAAATCCGAGACACTCATATTAGTATAACATGTTACGTTTGGTATGGTTACATAAGACAGAAGTTTACTTTATAACGTGAACATATAGTAACCCAAAGGTTTTGGGTTCGAATCTCACCACGGACAACTTTAACATTTTAGCAGATTAGACACTTTTACTTGCAACTACTTAATACTTTTTAGCTACTTTGCAACTACTTAGCATGTTAGCTAACCCTTCCCCTTTAAGCTAACTCCTAACCTTAACACTAACCCTAACCCCTAGCCTAGCTAACGTTAGCTACCAAGCTAACATTAGCTTAGCCACCTAGCCAATGTTAGCCACAACAAATTGCGAATTCGTAACATATTGTACGAATTGCAATTCATTATATATCATATGAATTGTAATTCATAAACATACAGTATCATACTTTTTAAAAATGTTAATAAAAGCTCCATAGGCTTGAATGGGAGGTATTTGGATTCGCCACTGCTCTTACATCGTTTAAGCTATCAACGCCAAAACAACGTTGACATGTTTCTTGCATTCAGATTTTTTATACCATTTTATACTTTTTTACTATAACCATTTTAAAATGTGCAACTATTTATCAACTATAACTATATACACTACTAGTCAAAAGTTTTAGAACACCTACTCATTCAAGGGTTTTTATTTATTTGTACTATTTTCTACATTGTAGAATAATAGTGAAGACATCAAAACTATGAAATAACACATATGGAATCATGTAGTAACCAAAAAAGTGTTAAACAAATCAAAATATATTTTATATTTGAGATTCTTCAAATAGCCACCCTTTGCCTTGATGACAGCTTTGCACACTCTTGGCATTCTCTCAACCAGCTTCATGAGGTAGTCACCTGGAATGCATTTCAATTAACAGGTGTGCCTTAAGTTCATTTGTGGAATTTCTTTCCTTCTTAATGCGTTCGAGCCAATCAGTTGTGTTGTGACAAGTTAGGGGGGGTTTACAGAAGATAGCCCTATTTGGTAAAAGACCAAGTCCACATAATGGCAAAAACAACTCAAATAAGCAAAGAGAAACGACAGTCCATCATTACTTTAAGACATGAAGGTCAGTCAATACGGAACATTTCAAGAACTTTGAAAGTTTCTTCAAGTGCAGTCGCAAAAAACGTAAAGCGCTATGATGAAACTGGCTCTCATGAGGACCGCCACAGGAATGGAAGACCCAGAGTTACCTCTGCTGCAGAGGATAAGTTCATTAAAGTTACCAGCCTCAGAAATTGCAGCCCAAATAAATGCTTCACAGAGTTCAAGTAACAAACACATCTCAACATCAACTGTTCAGAGGAGACTGTGTGAATCAGTCCTTCATGGTTGAATTGCTGCAAAGAAATCACTACGAGCAATGGACATTAGACCGGTGGAAATTTGTCCTTTGGTCTGGAGTCCAAATTGGAGCTTTTTGGTTCCAACCGCCATGTCTTTGTGAGACGCGTGTGGGTGAACGGATGATCTCCGCATGTGTATTTCCCACCGTAAAGCATGGAGGAGGAGGTGTTATGGTGTGGGGGTGCTTTGCTGGTGACACTGTCTGGGATTTATTTAGAATTCAAGGCACACTTCACCAGCATGGATACCACAGCATTCTGCAGCGATACGCCATCCCATCTGGTTTAAGCTTAGTGGGACTATCATTTGATTTTCAACAGGACAATGACCCAACACACCTCCAGGCTGTGTAAGGGCTATTTGACCAAGAAGGAGAGTGATGGAGTGCTGCATCAGATGACGGGCGGCAGGTAGCTTAGTGGGTAAGAGCGTTGTGCCAGTAACCAAAAGGTCACTGGTTCTAATCCCCGAGCCCACTAGGTGAAAAATCTGTCGATGTGCACTTAAGCAAGGCACGTAACCCTAATTGCTCCTGTAAGTCGCTCTGGATAAGAGCGTCTGCTAAATGACTAAAATGTAATGACCTGGCCTCCACAATCCCCCGACCTCAATCAAATTGAGATGGTTTGGGATGAGTCGGACCACAGAGTGAAGGAAAAGCAGCCAACAAGTGCTCAGCATATGTGGGAACTCCTTCAAGACTGTTGGAAAAGCATTCCAGGTGAAGCTGGTTGAGAGAATGCCAAGAGAGTGCAAAGCTGTCATCAAGGCATTTGAAGAATCTCAAATATAAAATTTGTTTAACACTTTTTTGGTTACTACATGATTCCATAAGTGTTATTTCATAGTTTTGATGTCTTCACTATTATTCTACAATGTAGAAAATATTAAAAATAAAGAAAAACCCTTGAATGAGTAGGTGTCCTAAAACTTTTGACTGGTAGTGTAAATGTGCACAAATGTGCATAACATAACTGACCAACAGTAACTAGATACACCAAACCAACTTTCACATGTTCAGGCTATCCTGTCTTATCCTATCTAATTAACCGATCAACCAATCAATCAATCTTTCCATGTACCTACTTTTTCAACTATAACCAGTCACCACCATTACTATTGCAGTCACTACTGCTACTATAACTTATTTCACAACCATAAATACTTTAAAACAAGCTAGCAAGCACACCACATTTTCTTCAGGAAATGTACTTTTATAGTTTTTTCTAAATATTTATATCTGTGTATTATTCATGAGTTTCTGGTGGGTAGAACCATATGGTTTAAGAGAAAATAGCCTAATTAATGAACAAATATTTGAATCAACAATGACATCATTTGCAATTAACTCTGCAACTCTTCCAACTATTACATTTTTTCACAACTGCCACCAGTTCAGCACCATGACATTTACAACAAACATATGACATAATAAAACAAATAAAAGCGTGTAAAAAAATATAATAGTATTCACTAAGTTGATGGGTTATATTGAGGATAATGTTTTACACCTTTGTCATTATATTTTTTATATTTAAAACAGCTTATTTTATTATTTTTGTATTTTTGACATGTTATGAAAATTACTTAAAATCCTTGAAAGTTTCAAAAATTCTAGTAGTTTACTGGTACATTTCTAAAGTCACCGGTAACATGCCCTGGCTTTGCAACCCTAATTGGGACGCATGCAAACCATAATTCCAGTCACTGTACTGGATCCCTGTGATGTGACATTTTGTGCTAACACCTCATATTCTTCCATTACAGCTCAACAGACAGTATATTAGTGGAAGACATGTAAGCCCCTCTATGCATCCTTTCCTATGATATCAAAAGACATTTGCACCGAGCAGACAACATTACAACAGAATCCCATTCGTGATGGAAGAAAAAAAAACAGAAGTCGGAAGTTTACATACACTTAGATTGGAGTCATTACAACTTGTTTTTCAACCACTCCACAAATTTCTTGTTAACAAACTATAGTTTTGGCAAGTCGGTTAGGACATCTACTTTGTGCATGACACAAGTAATTTTTCCAACAATTGTTTACAGACAGATTATTTCACTTATAATTTACTGTATCACAATTCCAGTGGGTCAGAAGTTTACATACACTAAGTTGACTGTGCCTTTAAACAGCTTGGAAAATTCCAGAAAATGATGTCATGGCTTTAGAATTGACATCATTTGAGACAATTGGAGGTGTACCTGTGGATGTATTTCAAGGCCTACCTTCAAACTCAGTGCCTCTTTGCTTGACATCATGGGAAAATCAAAAGAAATCAGCCAAGACCTCAGAAAAAATGTTGTAGACCTCCACAAGTCTGGTTCATCCTTGGGAGCAATTTCCAAACGCCTGAAGGTACCACGTTCATCTGTACAAAAAATAGTACGCAATTATAAACACTATGGGACCACGCAGCCGTCATACCGCTCAGGAAGGAGACGCGTTCTGTCTCCTAGAGATGAACGTACTTTGGTGCGAAAAGTGCAAATCAATCCTAGAACAACAGCAAAGGACCTTGTAAAGATGCTGGAGGAAACAGGTACACAATTATCTATATCCACAGTAAAACGAGTCCTATATTGACATAACCTGAAAGGCCGCTTATGTTTGGAGGAAAAAGGGGGTTGCTTGCAAGCCGAAGAACACCATCCCAACCGTGAAGCACGGGGTGGCAGCATCATGCTGTGGGGGTGCATCATGCTAAGCGGTCTTTCCTGAGAGAGATGGCGCCGGATAAGATGGCTGCCGTTTTACAGCCTTCTAACCAATTGTACTATTATGTGTGTTTTTTCGCGTTATTTGTAATTTATT